GCGGAGCCGGCGGAACGATCCGGACGGGACCGAAACCATGTGTACCGCCAGCGCTAACGCTGGTGGTACAATAAAAATAAACAACTTAACGCGCACACAAGAGATCCAAGTACGTACACAGTCGTTTTTATTTTACGGTTTACGTCGCGACTGTCAGGAATAAAGGCATTAAAGGCATTGGTCACACACACACTCTTAAAGGGTATCGGAGTTCAAAGAAGCGTATCGGCAAAAAAAGTAGCGTAGCGGCAAAAAAAAATAGCGTATCGGGGCCGATACGCTATAAAGGCCTGGGGAGAACCCTGATTTGTATACACAGCTCAGCTGGGCCAATTAAATCAATTACCTGTGTCATGTGTATTTGGAAGTTAGTGGCTTGATTTTAGATTTGGTGTAGTGTTAATGTTTTGTAAGTATATATTCTAGCTCAGGTATCATTTAACTAATCAGGTATCATTTAACTTAATGAAATTAATTTGAAAAATGTTAAATTCTGTGTTTTCCTACTGTATTTCACGTTACAATATGAATAAAAATAAATATTGTTACCTTTTTTTTGTTAATTTACATTTAGGATCTGGCATTTTCCCACCAAGCCACACTGAATGATTGGGTGCAAGTAAATCTTGATTATAAAAAAAAAACAAAAAAAAACAACAACAACAACAGATGACAGGTACAAAAGGCAGCTAGATGGCATACAAGGTAGAAGCAGCGAAAGAATATTCTTATATCTTTGTGACCAGCTGAGGAGAGAGGATCTGAACATCAGGAGAGTGAAATTCAGTGCATGACAGGAGTTATTTAATTGGCTTCGTTTGTTTATTTAATTGTTCGTTTGTCGTTTTAAAGTTGTTATCCTGATAGCTTGCATACAACAAGGATAGGTATTCCATTTATTTAGAATTGTGAGCAGAAGCACAAGAAGAAATGAAAACACTTTTTCTTTCTCATATTTTAAAAGGCTAAATGGAAAGGTTTGCAAGAAATATAATACTTTGTATGGTGCACTTCTCACAGATGGTCTGATACACACAATTATTGCACACAGCACATATCAATTGTGAGTCTTCAATCAAGCATTCTCTAGACATTGATGAAAATATACCAAACAGGTTTCTCAGCTTATGGTGACTTGATTCGACTTAATATGCCCATGTACATGTTGCATTGCATCATTAAAAGTATGGAAATATTTTTCATGTCAGTGTTATCAACTGAAAGGAAAGGGACCCTGATAATCTGTCATTGAATTGTGCAACAATGTCAACAATGTTTTGCATTTTATGTTTACTTTTATTCATACAAAATGTGCCTTTTCCTATATTTTTAATCAAATGAAGATCAATTCATGAACTGACTTGTTGTTATGCTACATTGGATACCCGTTTCTTATAAATGGGATGTTCAATCTGCATAAAAGTTGGCTAACTGGTGTAGAAAAGAGATATGATAATTTTCAATGAAGCAAGTTATATATATTTTTTCTTCTTCTTTTTTCACCCAATCTCTTTCACATTTTTCACTCTGTAGATTTTGTCTCACAATTTTCATCAAAATCACTAAGGCTGAAATGGTGTTTCTAAAATATGAGAGTTCTTATATTCAAATGCAAACTTCATTTAAGTTTTGCCCGATTCTGTTGTTGAGATACTAGCATTCATAGCTGAAAAATACCATCATGTCTTGCATTTCCATCTTTTTAAAAGGATTTTTCAAGCACCAGAGCTTAGACTACTATCAACAGTCAACAAAACTAATATTCTCCATATATTCTGTATGAAACACACTTAGTTGACAACAATATAGTAGGCTTTGGTACATATAAGTCAACTACCTCAGCTAAGTAAACTTAAGATTTTAGTGTTTTTGTGAAACAGGCACCAGATGCAACAATGAAAATGCATATAAATAAAAATACCAGTGCTATCTTGAATATTTCCAAATAAATTGCTTTTAAAAATAATTGTGAAGGATCCAAGTTACCTTTTTGCCTGCTCTTTTTTTTAGAGAGATGCTCCTGCCTGTCATAGTGGTCTTTCTCCTTATCTGAAGATTCTGACTGCCAGGTTTGACACCTGACTGACGAGCAATCACAGACTTTAACTATAAAATGGAAAAAAGTTTCATTATCCACAGCATTGAAAGAATACAGAAAAAAAAAACATTTCTATTTCTTGGCATGCTGGATGTACCCATATATGGTGCAATTTAATGTTTGAAGCAATCTTATAAAAACATCAGGAAAAGATTATGTGTAATGCCACAAATTGTAGTTCACCTGTCAGTACTTAACTTTTTTTTTTGGCAAGCACAGAAGCATTTTGAAAAAAAAAAAAGAAATTATCTCTGCAAATATTTACCTCCTTTTTAGTCGGACTGTTGACACTGGTCTTTGTCTTTTTGTTACTGATAGTTTTTCCTCCACTTCTTTGCTTAGCTAAAGAACGAGGTTTGTTGACCTAAAATGATTATGTAAAAGGAACTGAATGCTGCACATTAGCAAAATATCAATAGGGATGGTTTTATTATTCATTGAGTAAAACAGGATAGAAGAGGTTCTTATTATGTGAAGTATGTCTTTCTGAAGATTAATTTTTTGCAATTTTGAAAATTAAAAAAACTTCTTCGTCTGGTGTACATACATTGTGCTGAGCTGAACTGCTATGGCAATAAGCCTATTTACAAAAATTTAATCTATGATTCAGATTTATAAATTGTTATGCACTTTTAGCTAAGCTTTACATCCATTTTCTCATCTCATTTTTAAATGAAATTACTTTTAAAGTCATCCTGTTGACAAATAAATTTTGTAAATGACATTGATAGCATCATGCATGAAGAAAATATACACACATAAGAGTTCAAAACAAAAAGTACTTTAATTAATATCAGGATCTTATATTTGAGTGAGAAAAAATTTTAATTAAAAGATCTATACATAAATAAAAAGTAGATTTTTCATATTAATTTTTTCTTTCTTGATCAGAATACCATGATTAATTTAATTTAATTTAGACATAACCTTATAACTCAAATTGTCATTCATCTCAAAAGAAAAAAAGAAAGTTGTGGAATGGATATTTTCTTTGGTATTAGCTAAACAAGGCCTCATCTTGAATCTTTGCAAAACTTAAACCAAATTTTCCAGTCCCAAAGTGCCCCCAGTTATGCACAGTCTATATTTCAAATTCAAACCAAGATAAAAACTAAAACATAGCATTTATCCTGTAAATTCATCCAACAACAAACCTGACTTTTCCTAGTTCTGTTTCCTTTCCTTTGTTTAACCCTTTGTCGTTTATTTCCAACTACCGCTGCCTTTTTTGACTTAATGTACAGTCTAGCATTTTTCAAAGTCCGACTTGCTCGATTTTTCTGTCTTTGCTGCCTCTTGTTCTTTCTGCGTCTTCTTTTTCTCCTCCTTCTCTTCCTCCTTTTCCTTGTTTTTCTTCTTCTGCGAGACCTTCCACGCTTCCTATACCTCCTCCTCCTTTTTCTTCCAGAAGTTCTTTTTCTTATGCCCCTCCTCCTTGATGACCTTTTCCTTACAGGATTCTTTCTCCTTCTTCTCGTTGATGACCTTTTCCTTAGAGGATTTCTTCTCCTTCTCCTCTTTGATGACCCTTTCCTTACAGGATTTTTTCTCCTTCTCTTCCTTGATGACCTTTTCCTTAGAGGATTCCTTCTCCTTCTCCTCTTCCTCCTTCTCATCCTTCTAGGTCTTCTTCTCCTGTGGAATAAAAAAATCACCATAAATTTATATTAGTAAAAACACAGTAAAAACAGATCATGCAAGAAGGTTAAATATTACAGCGAATGTAACATGCAGATAGAAATCCTGTATGCGCTGTCTTTACAAACCACACCTGAGGGACCTCTTCCTCCTGGACTTTGGATGTGCCTTGATGCTCTCATTGTCTTTCTCTGAGGCTGTGGGTTTCTGTTCAACTGACATTCCTAAAAGAACAGCACAGATGAGCTTAATAGAAAATTTGTAAAAATAGGCAGGTATCTGGGAGTTTATAGCTTACGCTAAATACATTAATAACTGTCTTTATTTCAGCAGCCTCTATAAGTTTTAATAACTAGTATTTTTTTAAAAAGGAAATATAAATAGGATCACTTACATGCGTTGTACGTTTCAGCTGTACAGCCAGTACAAGGAAATATTATTTTTACTAATTAAATTTCTTGACAATTGAATATTGGAAATAAAATGACAATAAAATCACACAGTACCAACTGTTGCTGACTAGAACGTACCAGGTGTTGTGGAGACCTTGTACACAGCCAAGAGATCTGTTGCCTGACACTGCCCCTCCTGCTGCTTCTCTTCAATCTCACTGGTTTCAGTATCATTTTTGCATTTACAAGCTGTGCTATTTCCATTGCTTGAAAATAAACAAACACTCTAATTCAGATAAAGAAAAAATACTTGGAGAGAAAATAGAAAAATCCAACCAGTGAAGATCAAAAGCGAGTTTGGGTAATTTGCAACCACAGATATTAGTTGAGAAGCTTTCGCAGCTAAAATGAGCATCTTTGATTATCTCACTGTATTGATAAATTGAAAAGGGACGTTATTATTACCTCTTCTGTATTCCAATGATACTGTAGTGCTTGCAGTAGGCAACACAGTTTCTGAGCATGTCTGCGCCTTGGGGTAGTATGGTCTCTCTTGTTCCAAAGTCAGAGACATTATTTTGGCAGCCCAAGTAAACAGGAACAGGCAAGGCAATCCCAACTAAAGAGAAAAAAATTTAAAGTTTCAAACTGTTTTTGAAAAAAAAAAAAAAAAAGCATACCATAGTCCATATATAAGCAATGCCTCTATGCTACTGCTCATGTGTGATTAGCATGTGGTATTATATATACAAATAATGCAATCTCTCCAGGTTGATGGGAAACTACGGAAAAACAAGAATGAAAAAAATATTTATTTATTTATTTATTTATTTATTTATTGGTAGAAATTTAATAGACGTCACACATTTGGTATAAACGAATGGAACAATGACCTATTCCTTATGAAAACCATGTAAAATGTCACAAAAATCAGAGAGAAAAAATAATTATGAGATAAAATTTGAGTACTGAGTATGTGAATATTCTCACCGTTTTCTTTTATCTGTATAAAGTCGCCAATCACATTGGACGGCATGCACACAAGCAAGGACAACAGCGCTACTTGCTGCAGTAAGTCTGAAAGTAAATCAGCACAGGTATCAGCCAAAATGCATGATCCCAATGTGAAACACCACGAGCTTCAGAGAGTGCTGGAACTCAGCTCACTTCTAGAAATGACAGAGACATGCGTATAGTTAATACTTACCTCAGTTTTCGACCTAACGACATGAATGAACGAAAACTGAGGCGAAGCATTCCAGCGTTACTGTGGCTGTGTTAGTAATAGTAAAAGCAATCAAGTACTTATCTACTTACCATGTAGCACAATGGTTAATAATCACTATACCTTATATAATAAAAAATCCAAAATGCGCCTAATAACCCTTTATGAACAATTCTATTTGATCACGACGCTCACATGCAATCGACATATATATCAGAGCGATCTCAACAGCTGCATTTCACATCCGCCAGCCACATCCGCCAGTCACAAGCAATATTATAACTTGATTTTTACTGGTGACAAAAATGGTAGATAAATAATTGAAATAAACAATAAAAGCTTTGAAATTTGATTTTAAAGGAGAAAAGGAAAAATCACAAAATTTTACCTTTTCAAATTTAATCGACCTTCATATCTTATTTCAATTTCTTTTTTTTTATTATTATTATTATTCATCGGTTTTTATTTACCCAATTATGTATTGTCTGCGGCAAAACGTCATTTATCAGTATTTTATCTACTTTTCGTCCTTTAAATAGCTACCTTTTTTCATTTAGTCTTAAACAGGCCCTATAATTATTATAAATAACATATATGAATATTCAAATTACTGTTTTTCTTTTTATCGAGAGCTTGTAAAATATGTGGGTATTACCTCCAATATTTCTGTGACTGTCAGTCACCATCATCAGGGAGTAAATGACTAGGGTCATTTCACCTGGAATGAAAATCCAGGTCAATTGCCCCTAATCACTGGCCTATTATTGGAGGTAATACCCACATATTTTACAAGCTCTTGATAAAAAGAAAAACAGTAATTTGAATTTATACATACAGAGCTAATGAAACTGTTCTCTCATATATGAATATATTTGAAATTTGGATAGAGATAACTACCCTGGTGCTTTCAGGATTTTACATAAACATTTTTAAAGAAGCTAAGGAAGGAGATTGTCTCCCAGAACGTGTCCCGTCTCAGGGCTCCATTTGAAGGGAGGTCGGATGCACAAAAATACAGGGTCCCATTACATTTGGGGTAATGATCACAGATTACGGGAAATCAAATCATCATTTCACAAATCACAGTAAATAAAACTTGATTCATACCTCATTGAAATGCAGGAAAAACGAGTTGAACAATCATATATTTTCACAACTTCTGCTGTTTTAGAGAGAGTGAGAAAGAGAGAGAGAGGGGGGGTAGGGGGCGGGCTAGTTGGCACAATTAGCATCATCATCACCGACTAACTGTTATACAAAAAGAAAATGAGAGATTCACTTTGCTAGTTCCTCGACCACAAAACGCCTCTCTTTGAACCTTGCTTCCACTCAACAGACCCTTGCCTAATCTCGATTTTATCATTCATTTTACAACGTTTTGTTCGAGTGATTTGTAAAATGTAGATTTTCTCAAAACTCTTTATATATATATATATATATATATATATATATATATTTTTTTTTTTTTTTTTCTTTGAAAAATATGCCTCGTTTGCCTTCAACTCGAATCAGTTCCAATGGCGGCAACGGAAATTAAAAGAGTAGAAACACTTGAAAGATGTATGGATACAAACTCGTATCCTAAGAAATGTGTTAATAACTTATACTCACTCATTGCTACTGTCGAAGTTCTAAATTATTGGGTGTCCTTGTATAGACCTATAGGTCTCTAGCCTTTTTTCTCCATATCGGATCGTACAAAAGTTTTCTGGCAAAAATGAAGGCCAAACAACATCACATCAGTCCCTTCAGAATGGCTCCTAAACGCACTAAAATACGTAAGCGCGAGTGACGTCCCACGTAATAATGTCACTTCTGCGTTACAGGAGCCGCGTGATGACGTATGACGTCAGACGTTTTCTACGGTGTCTTCTGCCGTTGCACAAAAACAAGATGGCGACAGGATAAGACAAATGAAAATTTTGTGTCGCTTTTCAATTTTTTTAAAAAATTTTAAGCATGTTTTCTTTTGTTTAAAAACCAAACTATTTACAGGGTGACCCGACAACCGAGGCATGCGTAAGTATATTGTAGTGATATGGAAGTAGACGATGTTTTTGGTCTACCCCCTTTGGTGGAAAAAAAAGGAAATTTTGCAAGATGTTGATTAAATAAAATGTGCGACTGTAGGCCATTCCTTATAGGAAGATTATTGCGTTTTACTCGAATATATTACGGATTCTATGGTTTGGTATATAGAATGGGGGTTAAGCTAGAATGGACAAGATCGATCGATGAGTGCCATTTGTTAACTAGCTATACTTACGTTTCTTTTACAGAATAAGTAATATTTCAAATCTGAAAGTCTACCTTGTCAACGCGTGGTTGGATAAATAAGATAGACGTTAAAATTCTGTCGCTTTAATTCCAACTGTTGTAAGAATAAGAGATAACAAAAAAAAAAGTACTTGAATACTTAGCCAAACCGTGGGTATGACTTTGTAATTTTTAATATTAAAAGACCGGGTTACATCCCTTTACGTTTGTGGGCCCTCGGCTAGCTAGTTTACTCCCCCACATGCACTCACTGCAAACCGCTAGCACGACTATTATATTGACAGTTCTGATACATGTATGTACTGGCGGTGCAATACATGTATATAGGAGTGCTAACGCATGAATTTCCGTGCTATGCACCCCCCCCCCACCGCGCACACACACACACACACACACACACACACACACACACACTCATCATTGCTTCAATTTTATTTAAGGGGGCAATGCGAAATTTTCAAATTCACAAGTTTTGCTTGTTATCTTCCTCATATGGCCCACACATATTGATATTTTTGAGGGGGAGTAACGATGCAGGTATATATTGAAATTACCTCAAAGTCCTTTACCATAAAAGTAATTTTGCAGGGTATGTATTGATGCAAGTATGGATGCAAGTAATTGTGTGTGTGTGTGTATTTTTTACCAGGAAGTCTTAGACTTGTAGAAGTAAAATAACAATATTTGTTTATTTTAGATTAAACTAAGTTAAATATTAAATGAAATTATGTCCAGTTATCTACATTTTTAAAACTGTAAAAAGTATGACCTGATTTTCAAATATGTAACAGAATTATTTGATACACGCACATAAAGTCCTGAAAACTACAGGCTCTTATAATGTCTTTTTTTTTCTTTTCAAGGATTGGCAGGATGCCTTTGGCTGCCCATATGTTTATTTCTGACAGCCATTGGCGAGCCCAAGAGAATTTTCCCCCATTCTCATGACAAGATAGATGACAGTAATGGCAAGCTTCCCAGCCTACAATACCACAGACCCACAAAAGCGAAATTTGATATTCAAGGAACAAAAACCTGGCTAGAAAAAAGATACAGTCTAGAGAATGATAAACAAAGGCATTATATAATTGAGCATAAATTAGGAAAAAGCACAGGAAAGAAAAGGAAAAGACTTTTTACAAGTACTTCCATTTTAAAGAATGGCTTCCATCAACAGAGCTTAAGACAGAAATCAATTGTCAGCCCTAGATATCATTCTCGATGGAGAAGTGATTTCATGTCGATTAGAAATGGATACAAGTTGTTATTTATCTCACAGCAGCCAAAAGGAAAACATTTCTTGAGATATAAGTGTCAAAAATATGGAGTATATTTATCAGAAAGGAGCTATCATTTCATGTCAAAAATTCAAAGGCACAGTACCTGGTGGAGGGACCAGAGCCCCACCAAGTTTAGTGAAATGCTACAAGAATTAAAGGATGAATTCATTGTAAAACCAGAGCTGCGTAAACTAAAGGAAATACTCCTTCATGCAAGCAGTGGAATACAAACTGCTGTATGTTTAAAGATCTTCATTTATAGACAACAGAAGAGTCAAAAACTGCTCCAAAATAAAGTTTCCCCACATACTTTCTCACAGTTTGGCCATGCAAAGTCTGCCTTTCTTCAAAAGCGGGAGCCTCACTGGTTTTATTCTTTAAATGGCCCCAAATCTTTGAAGGGCTCACCTGTGGAAAGGGAATTTTTTAATGAACAATCGAGTGCCATCAGGAGAACATTGCCAAAAACAGCCAAAATACCAAATTTGTCACCTAGATCCACTTTGAAATCTGTTTCAGAACTTCATCATCATCCACGAAGAAATGCTTATCACAAACCTAACAAGCAGCATCGTCATTGGCCTTCAGCAAATGGCCATGTATCACTAGAGAACTCACCTTCAATAAAAAAGTTTTTTTATGAACAATCGAGTGCCAACAGGAGAGCATTGCCAAAAACAGCCAACATACCAAATTTGTCACCTAGACCCACTTTGAAATCTGTTTCAGAAATTCATCATGATCCACGAACAAATACTTATCACAAGCCTAACAAGCAGCATTTTCACTTGTTGCCTTCAGCAAATGGCCATGTATCACTAGAGAACTCACCTTCAATAAAAAAGTTTTATGAACAATTGAGTGCCAATAGGAGAACATTGCCAAAAACAGCCAACATACCAAATTTGTCACCTAGACCCACTTTGAAATCTGTTTCAGAACTTCATCATCATCCACGAAGAAATGCTTATCACAAACCTAACAAGCAGCATCGTCATTGGCCTTCAGCAAATGGCCATGTATCACTAGAGAACTCACCTTCAATAAAAAAGTTTTTTTATGAACATTCAGGTGCCAACAGGAGAGCATTGCCAAAAACAGCCAAAATACCAAATTTGTCACCTAGACCCACTTTGAAATCTGTTTCAGAAATTCATCATGATCCACGAACAAATACTTATCACAAGCCTAACAAGCAGCATTTTCACTTGTTGCCTTCAGCAAATGGCCATGTATCACTAGAGAACTCACCTTCAATAAAAAAGTTTTATGAACAATTGAGTGCCAATAGGAGAACATTGCCAAAAACAGCCAACATACCAAATTTGTCACCTAGACCCACTTTGAAATCTGTTTCAGAACTTCATCATGGCCCTCGAACAAATGCTTATCACAAATCTAACAAGCAGCATCCTCACTTGATACCTTCAGCATATGGCCATGTATCACTAGAGAACTCACCTTCAAAAAAAAAGTTTTATGAACAATTGAGTGCCAATAGGAGAACATTGCCAAAAACAGCCAAAATACCAAATTTGTCACTTAGACCCACTTTAAAATCTGTTTCGGAACTTCATCATGGTCCTCGAACAAATGCTTATCACAAATCTAACAAGCAGCATCCTCACTTGTTGCATTCAGCAAATGGCCA